CAAATGTTGATGTGTTTTTTTTAAATAAGAATTTCTGTAAAAAGCCTTTTTTTAAAAAAAAAAATCCTTTCTCGCCTACCTTACAGTGCCTTAGTGCAACTCCTTTCGTTGTTTCACCGGCACGTTGTTTCAGTTGGCGGAGACTTCTCGGCTGTCAGAAGAAAAACGTCTGTCCTTTCTTTCCCGCCTCTCTGACCCTCCGCTTACCAGGAGGACCGCTCTGCCCTCCACACGGACAGCGGGTCGCCCGGCCTGCGGGCCGAGCAGTGCAGCCGTACCGTGACGTGAAGCGCTCGGGCCCCAGTGAGGTCCGCCCTGCGGCCGTCCCCCTCAAACCCGCGCTCGCAGGCTCGCAGGCTAAGGGGCTGCACTCTTCGGTCTTCCTCTCTGACACGGCGGGCCCCGTTCATGCCGCCCTCGGTCCACCCGTGGGCCCTTCCTCTCGCGATGTAATCACCACGGACATTTCGATTAATTCACCCCAGCAAATGACTCCGGTGCACAAGCGTCGCTTTCTTTCTTTCTTTTTTTGTCTCGTTTTGTGTGTACGAATGCTGCTCGGGGTTTTTCCTATAGATTCTAGATCAATTTTGCATCTGGGGATCAGGCATTTGCACCCCTAAAGTACTACTCGAGGAAACGTGATTACATAAGTCTCAGTAACATAATACATTAAGCGAGATACGCGAGCCTTGTTATTAAATAGTTGGGAAGGCTCCTGCGTTCTTTGACCGTATTAAAACACCAGTGTCCTTATCGAGTTACTTTCAGTGTGTTCGAATTAAAAAAAAAAAGAGGTAAACCGAGAGGTGGGGTTTTTATATTTAGATGTCCGACACTAGTAGGGCTGCCAGTCCCGGCCTGCCGACAGCTCGCCACACAGACCGAACCGCTGGAGTCACGCGGCCTCCCCGCGCCTCAGCGAGACGAACACCTGGAGCAGCCGCGCGCCACCCGATCCCGTCAGCCCCTCGCTCCTCGCTCCTCGCTCGCTCCACCGAACAAGCCGAGGGCTCACCTTGCCGGAAAGAGTTTGAAAGAGACCCGGAAAAGCGGACGGACAGCGGGCCCCGAGCACTCCTCTGTTCCGAAGCGAACGGGGCAAGTTCATCTCACAGGAGTTATCGACAGGACTGCGAAGGGAAACCAGAACCGAACGCCGTAATTCAGGACGCTGTAACCCCCTAACCCACCACCTTAGTCTTTAATTTCTTTTCTTTCCCTTGAAGGGCAATATCTTAAATCCAATCATGTCTCAAAACGTCTGGTACAACGAACCCACGTTTATCTATCGATTGAAATAAAGACGGCCATGTTTTGTTTTGGTTTTTTTTTCCCAATACATGATACTGTTAGCAATTTCGTTAAATGTTATCACATTTCTATGCAACTTTACTCTCGGGAACTGAGGCAGTTAAATAATCGACAGAGTTTAACTGAAAGAGTTCCGTCGGCAAAGGAAGATATTCAATATATCCATCGACAGGAACTTCATCGCAACACGGCCGCGTAATGACACCTAGCGGCCTGCATGCGACACTACAACTGGGCGATCTGGTTGGACGGAAAGCTGCCTTTCCGCTGGCTTTAATGAAAGTCGTCTTCGCCTCCTCGTACGTTTTCCTTTACGCATCTCGTTTCAGAATAGCGACCTTTTCCGCTTGCAGTCTCTTCCTTTACCAAGAACAGCCCGTTTTTAAAACAGAGAACCCTTGTGACTAAAGGCACTGACGCCAACTGCCGGAGATCCGGCTGTTTGCGGCGAAAAGGCTCTTGCCCACGGCTCTCGAAATCTACGGGTTTCTCGTATAGCGGCAAATTCTGTCTTCGGCAGTAGCGGTATCTAACCTGGTATCCTTGGTTTCGAGGAAAACGTGATCTCGGGAATGTG